TATAATCCCAGCACTTTGGGAGGCCGAGGCGGGTGGATCACGAGGTCAAGAGATCGAGACCATCTTGGTCAACATGGTGAAACCCCGTCTCTACTAAAACTACAAAACATTAGCTGGGCATGGTGGTGCGTGCCTGTAATCCCAGCTACTCAGGAGGCTGAGGCAGGAGAATTGCCTGAACCCAGGATGCGGTGGTTCCGGTGAGCCGAGATCATGCCATTGCACTCTAGCCTGGGTAACAAGAGCGAAACTCCATCTCCAAAAAAAAAAAAAAAAGAAAAAGAAAAAGATTCCTAGTATGAGGACAAGTAAAAATAGAAATAGCTATTTACAAAGAAACAAAGTAGAGATTCAGGAGTACAGGGAGATCCTAGGAAGACCATGAGTGATATTCTAGGAAATACTGAAATAAGGCAGATTTCAGTATAAAGGGGAATATGTGTAATAAATAAAATTGCATTTGAGTTAATGCATATATTAAATCAGAATCTCTGAAATGGATTGATTGTAGAGAAACTACTAGGGAGAAGGAGAGAATCCCTTTAAGTTTTTGGGTTTTTTTTGTTTTTTGTTTTTTTTGCGTTTTAGGGCCTTTAAGTTTTAAATACATAAAACATACACATCTTAATGCTCATTTAAAAAAGGATATGTTTACTAATCAGTGTAATCAGTTAAATATAGAGGTATCTTTCCAATTCTTTGGATTTGTTTTGACATTTGCCATCAACAAAGTAAACCTTTCATGGTTGATTAAAATAGAGAAGGCAGCCGGGCGCGGTGGCTCAAGCCTGTAATCCCAGCACTTTGGGAGGCCGAGGCGGGTGGATCACGAGGTCAAAAAAAAAAAAAAAAAGAATAGAGAAGGCTTAATATAAGTTAGGTGACTCAGAAAACAACTTAAAAACCAAGAGAACACTTTGACCAATGTAATCACTTGAATGAAGAATTTTCTAATTGAGATATCATTTACATGCCACTCATTTAAAATGTACATTTCAGCAGTTTTTAATATATTCACAGGGTTGTGCAACCATCTCCACAATTTAATTTTTACAACATTTTGATCCGCCCCCCCCCCCCCCCCGCAAAAGAAACCCTGTACTCCTTAGCAATTAGTCCCTATTTCTAGCAACTAATCTACTTTGTGTGTGTGTGTGGATGGCCTATTCTGACCATTTCATATAAATGGAATCATACAGTATGTAGGTTCTTTCACCTAATGTGTTTCAAAAGCTTCATACATGTAGAATCTTCTTTTTTGTGTTTTTTGTTGTTTGTTTCAGAGTCTTGCTTTGTTGCCCAGGGGGGAGTGCAGTGGCACAATCTTGGCTCACTACAACCTCTGCCTCCTGGGTTTCAGCAATTCTCCTCCCTCCTGAGTAGCTGGGACTACAGGCGCACACCACCATGCCTGGCTAATTTTTGTATTTTTAGTAGAGACGGGGTTTCACCATGCTGGCCAGGCTGATCTCGAACTCCTGACCTTGCCATCCACGCACCTTGCCCTCCCAAAGTGCTGGGATTACAGGCGTGAGCCACCATGCCTGGCAATAGAATATTCTTTTTAAACCAAACTGGATGTCTGTCTTTTCACAAACACCTTGAAATACAAATTCCTTTGCAGTTTGACACTCAAAGATGATTAGTTTCATGTGATCTTTATGTTTCTACTTTTTGACAGATTAGCTTTGAAGTTTAAATCCAATGGAGAAGACTCAAGAAACAGTCCAAAGAATTCTTCTAGAACCCTATAAATACTTACTTCAGTTACCAGGTAATACTTCAGTTGTAGTCAATATAGGGTCATTTTCATACAATAGTCATTCAAATGTTAGCACATGGAAAAGGTTACACTTGCTAGATGTTGAGATTTTCTACTTAAGGTGATACATATGAGAAAAATGATCTGTAGAACTTTATAATTTTTCATTATTAAAAGGTAATTTTTGCCAGGTGCAGTGATGTACACCTGTTGTCACATCTACTCAGGAGACTGAGGCAGGAGGATGGCTTGAGCCCAGCAGTTTAAGGCTGTAGTGCACGATGATCACACCTGTGAATAGCCACTGCACTCCAGCTCGGGCAACATAGTGAGACCCCGTCTCTTAAAAAGAAAAGTAATTTTTGAAGGCACCCTTTAGAAAATATCCAATTATTTAACATACCTTAAAAAATAAAAATACTTGGGCCGGGCGCGGTGGCTCAAGCCTGTAATCCCAGCACTTTGGGAGGCCGAGGCGGGTGAATCACGAGGTCAAGAGATCGAGACCATCCTGGTCAACATGGTGAAACCCCGTCTCTACTAAAAA